GATATTCACCTCCCCCTATCAGATCTTAGTCTTTTAATTATCTTATTTAGTTGATTTTCTACTTCACTTTTATATTTTATGAACATGTTGTAAGTTTCATCTTTGTTTCTAAGCAAAGATACTCTAGCATATCTTGAATAATCATATATGAAGGTCACATAATATCTTTTCCCACCTCATGTCATTGTTTGTTTTAAGTTGCCTAAATCAGTATGAATTAAACTCAATAGTTTAGATTCTCTTTCTACTAATTTACAACTCTTTTTTTTGGTAATTTTACATTCTGTGCATATTTCACCTCTATCCATTTGTGGATTATTGATACCAGAAATCATGCCACTTTCCTTCATTTTATTTATGAAAGAAAAGCTGATATGACCTAGTCTACCATGCCATAAATCAATAGAGTCAAGCATATAAGCAGAAGAAGTACTAGTATTTTCATTGATAATCTCAAGTACATTCAGAACAAAGAGACCTTGACTACAATATCCCTTCCCCATGAAAAAAATATTGTTCTTAGTAATTATAAGCTTATCATAATCAAAAGAGACTTTTACCCCAACCTTGCCAAGCAGTGACACAGACACAAGATTCACACGAATCTCAGGAACATGGAGAACATCACTCAGAGACAAGACTTTTCTAAATGTGAGTTTGAGAAGAACTTTCCCTTTTCCCAGAATAGGAGTGGGCCTTGAATCACCCATGTAAACAATTTATTCTCCTTACCCTACAGGTGTGTAGGAGGTAAAAGCACTTTTATTATCACAAATGTACCTAGAAACACTAGAGTCTACCACCCAATCCTTGATGTCGGCAACCATGTTGGCCTAAGAAACAACCGCATCAATAACATCCACCTCAACCAGGTTTGCACTTGGTTTGGCAAGGTTGTCGTTCCTTTTTCTTGTACCTGCACTATGGAGCATAGTGCCTCGGTTTCCCGCAAATAAGGCAGTTTCCTTTCTTTTTGAATGTCGGGTTGTTGGTCTTTGGCCTATTATCAAATCTGTGATTTTTGTTGTCAGACCTTCTATTTCGGTTGTCTCTTAGGTTGGGCTTTTCATCAACTAGGTTAGCCTTGGAGGGATATCTCCTTGGCTCTAACTGCCTTGAGTTGGTTTTTATTTTTTTCTTCTATGATAATGTGGACGATGACATCTTCTAGTGACATGTGTTTCCGCTTGTGTTTTAGAGATTGTTTGTAATTTCTCTATGACTAGGGAAGTTTTTCAATCAGAGCTCCAGCAACAAACTCCTATTGGAGCTTAATGTTTTCATTCTTAAGGTCATCTAGAAATTTATGATATTAATTGAATTGTGATTGGATATCTTTTTCATCAATTATCTAGTAGTGTAGAAAATTCCCAATGACAAACTTTTGAGTCCCAGCATCCTCAACTATATATTTCTTATTCATAGACTCCTAAATTTCCCTAGCTTCTTTGTAGGACAATATAGGTCAAATAAGTCATTAGCTAATGTGCTAGGATTATGTGCCTACAAATCTTGTTGGCATGTTCCCGTATTTTCAATGATCTTTCATAGTGTTTAGAGTCCTTTTTTAGGTTTGGGTTTAGATAGAGCAAAGGCAATCCCTATAATATCTAATGCGGAGAAGACTCTTTCTTGTCATCTCTTAAAGGATGTTCCAAAAAAATCTCAAATTTTGAACTGTCGGGAAAAGCCTTAGCGGTAAGCAATGCAGTATCCATAGGTATAGATCTATCCTTATGATTATTGTAAAAAGTTGTGGATACGGATGTTAAATACAATAATAAAGAGATATCAAAGAAACTTATCAATCAAGGCGTGAGTAATCACTGTCGTTAATGATAGATTTTGTCTCTTGGAGTATGAAGTTTGGTGCAGTAGGACAATAACGACTACCCTCTAGGAAACAATGATTGCTTCTCATAAACGTGCACTCGTAATGTAAGCAGTCAAGAACAACTTTGACTTGATTAGCTCAATACTTAAAGAGATCAAAATACTAATGAAGAAAATTTTTTGTGAATACAAAAAAAGAAGGCTTTGGAATTTTTGGCTAAAAAAAACTTGATGTCTTTGGATTAGGATGGCTTCGGTGAGCAGACCAAGAAAGAAGAATTGTTTGCTTGTTCTATTTTGCAATTGTCCCAAGCAACACTTTATATAGTGCAACCCAAGGTAAATAAAAGCAAAGGAAATCCTTGATGAGGCAATCAAGGAAGCAACGGTCAAATGACCTCCATTTTATTTTGCACATGTGACAACCATGGGTCAACAAGAATCAAGAGAAAGAATCTATGTAAATCTCATGTGATCGATTAAAATTAAAGTTTAAAATCTTATATGACTTTTGAAATAGCCGTGTGCTCTAATATACAACAGGACACATTGCAATATTTTTACTATATTGAAGGTGTAATGTGATAAATTTAATATTTAAGAATATAGAGTGAGAATTTTAAAATCTTTCAGGGTGCAAAATACAATTCTCCCCTATATTTTTATATTATGAATTAAGGTAGAGGGAGTTTGGTGTCCATATTTAAAATACCTATAATATTCTCTTTCTTCTTCTTCTTTTTTAATCTGAATTACCCATAATTACTCATAATTATGGCTTACCTAAACTCATTAACATTATCATAAATTTAAGTTTGAGTATGATTATATAAGTGTGAGTCCATTAAGTTGAGTTAGGGTGACTCTAAGCTCAAATATTTAATTTTATAAAACATCATCTAAATCATAGAGCATTTAAGTCTCATTGAATTCATCCGATCGAACCTAAACTCAATTCATGTTAATAAACCTACCTAAAGACTAGGGTGGCCTCCAAGCCCTGGCAACCCAACCCAACAAAATTAAAGGCCAAGGCTAGAATTTTTGGATCATTCTATGGACCAGAGTCGAGAACATAAAAATTAGTTGTAAAATTTGAATTTAATTGAGTTAAATGACATTAAAGAAAATTATTTGGCCTTAAGTGCATTTTAAGAAAAAAAAAATACTGAAAGACCATTCATTACTCTCTTTCTCCCCATTACTCTCTTCCCTATTTCTCTTTATATCTTTCCCGTTACTCTCCATATCTATCTCCTATTTTCTCTTTCTCCCCCATTGATAATTTTTTTTAAAAATATGTAAAGATTTGATTTGATTTTTTTATCTCTCCCATATAATTAGTTACACTTACCCTGTAATACACCAAACAATTACACTTACAACACTAACTCAATTTGTCATCCAACTATTTACATAAACTAAAGAGTTACACAATTTATTATGACAATGTGGTTACACCAATTATGTATACTAAATTGGGTTTATTATTACACAAAAGAGTTTACCATTACACCAAATTTTGTGTATGTAATTGGTGTAACCATGTAGTGATACTAAATAGTGTAACTTTTTAGTTTATGTAAACAACCGAATGATAAATTGAGTTGATGTCGTAATTTTATGTAATTATTTAGTGTAATTGTTTGGTTTATCAGAACATATGAATAACTGTTTGGTGTATTATAAGACAATTGTAATTGATTAGTATAACTGATTGGTGTAATTATGTTATTATTAAGTTGATAAAAAGAGAGAGACAAAAAATAAGAAGAGAGAGTAACAGTGAGAGAAAATAAGAGGATAGAGAGTGGGAGAGAGAGGGAGAAAATAAGATAAAGAGATGAAAAAATCAAATCAAATCTTTATATATTTGGAAAGACAATAAATTATCAATGAAAGAGGATAAAAAAATAGGGGAGAGATAGAGAGAGTAATGGATAGAGAGATAAAATAGAGGAGATTGAGTAATGAAGACAGAGAGGGAGAAAGAAAGAGAGTGAAAGAATAAAAATTATGCATAATTCAAGGAAGGGTAAGTAAGTAAAAAAAATTAAAATGTCATTTGAATTTTGTACCTAATTACAAGATGTTTTATTAAAAATGAACTTAGTAGAGTAAAATACTTATCTATATACTTTGTCTCAAATAAATCTAAAGAAATGTACCCGCATCCAAAAAACCCCAATTAGTTCGCCACTATTTTGGGCTACGTAACATCTCAAAACTATCTATCTAATGTAACAACTAATAAATTGAATTTTCGACTTATAAAAATATAATAAATTGAATTTTCAATTTATACAAGTATAACAATGATTAAAATTGATCAATTTTTTATTTACTTTGATCCAATAATAAAAAATCTATTCCAATTTTTTTTTTTGGCTAAAAAATATTAACTCAATTAATACACTTTTTTCAATGCTAGACTACCTCACTAATACACACCTATTTTATCTCTTATTTCTTCTATACTTTTTATTTTTATTTTCTCTCTATTCACATTAATTTTTTAAATTATATAATAAAAAAATATTATTAGTTAAAATATAAAATATTGCACGATCAATAGTTAAGTTTTTTATATTACAGAATCTTAAGACACGAGATTATTGATAGTTTTCAAACAAAGTATGAAAAAAAAATAATATATGAGAATTAAACATGAAAATTAGTAATTGATTTAATGATTACCGTCCCTATTGTTAAATTTTAAAATCATAAGTTCAAACAATATTGTACCACTACTCAGAAATACTACCCCACAAAACAACCCAAAATTATAACAAAACTTTTTATGTATTCGTGGAGTTTAAGACTTGCTTGAAAGAATTTATCAAAAATAAAATTACGTAATTTAATAAAAAATTTGATAAGACAGTGATAATTATAACCAAAAAAAAAAAATCAATTAATATATTTTGTGTTTTTTCCCAACTAAGCCCCTAAAAACATTGAATTTTTCAACTTGCCCTGTAATGATCATTTGCTCCAAAATCTTCCCGCCATTCCACTTTTTCTCTCTAAAATCTCTCTCACTGCTTCTGAAGAATGGGGGAATGCTCAATCCTTTAAGATTAGGGCAAATGCACAGCCGTTTTAGTTCAACCCATTGATCATCACCTCGAAATTGTAGATATTATTGGAAGTCCAGGAGTAAGAACATGGGAATACAAGGTCTTTTGCCTCTGTTGAAATCCATAATGGTCTCAATCCACATCAAAGAACTAGAGGGTTGTTGCGTCGCCGTCGATACCTATTCTTGGCTCCACAAAGGAGCCTTTGCTTGCAGCAGAGAGCTCTGCAAAGGCCAACCTACCACCAAGTAGATCACTTTCTCTCTCCAAATACGTATAGGCACACACATATAAGTATACATACAGTTTTATGTAAAAGATTATTTCTCTTGCAAGGTGTTCCTTACGGGAGGGGAAATGGGGTTTCTTTGTATAAATCTATAAGTTTAGGAGTATATAGACATACTCATAATGGGTTTTCTTTGTATAAATGTATATTTTTAGGATTATATAGACATACGCATAATGAGTTTTTTTTTCAATTAGTGATTTGCTGTATTGTAAAATATGTTAATTTACATGTACCATATGACGGGTAATGGGTGTTCTTTGTTTCAATCGTTTCAATGCATGTGTGTTGTATGCATAAATGTCTATTGACTGTTTGTATGTAGGTGCATGAACATCATTATAAGATCCCATATTCTGCAAGGACTACTGTCATATGGGTTTTGATTCTTTCTGCGTTTACAATCCCGCTGTTACATTTGTCTTTTTTTTTTTTAATTAATTCAATTTTTATTAAAAGATGCATATTCCTGTGAGTTTTAAGCTAGGTTTTGGATTCCAATTACAGTTTTGCTTTCACTCATAACAATATTTTAAAAATGTTAAAATGCCAAGTAAAATCTTCACATTACAATGCAAAAGACTGCACATCTTGTGTTTTTTATCCAATGACAGCTAAAAATTTACACTAATTGCAATCTTTTCATGGATTTCTCGATAATATTAGCTTTTTTCCAAATAGGTACAACAAGATTAACATAAGCAATTTTTTATTTCTTTCAATATGTTGTAAGTGGAAATAAAATTTTATTCTAACATGTGTTATTGTGTTTGACCTTACAGGCATATTGACTATTGCATGCATAGAGTAAACTTATTGCGGCATTATGGAGTTAGACCTATTCTTGTCTTTGATGGAGGGCATCTACCGATGAAGAGTGAACAAGAGAACAAGCGTGCACGGTAGTGTAGATGTGTTTCAAAATCTTAGTTCCACTTCATTTGGTTATCACATCAAGGCATATATTGGTAGTTATTTTGTGCATTTTGGTCAGTTGTTCAACACAACTCCTGATTTGAGTCCTAGGCACTTCCATTTTCTCTTGATTTCCATGTTTGGTTCTCCTTATGATGGTTAAATGACATGCTTATTGGCTAAAGGGGTCACGGGTTGGGATTTGAACTACCAGCAATTAGCATTAGTAGTGCCATAGTTCTCTTTTTAAGGGAGTTATACGCATTCCCATCTGGCTATCTATATTTCTGTAGATTTACTTGAACTGTAATGCAAACAGCCTTGTAGGGTAGCTACACAAATGGTTCTGTAGGATAGGATACTTGACATAACCATGGATATTCTTGAAGATATACATAATCATTGGGATAGACTTCTTGAGTTAAGTATCCTATATCTTTTGTTCTATGTGTTTTAAGCAACCACTTAGGCAGTGTGAGAGCCATTCCAAATTTGGGATAGGAGTTGAGGAAAGTGGGCAAACATGTGCTTTTGGATAATTGTGTTTGTAATTAGTGGGGGTTTGGTCTCATGCAATTATTACTTTTTTGTACCTAGAACTGAAAAAAGATAAAAGATGCTTACCTCTGAAAGTAGCATGTCATGAATTCTACCTATTGATACGTTGTAGTTTTCAATCACAGGGCAAGGAAGGAAAACCTTGATCGTGCTATGGAACTTGAATCAAATGGAAATTCAGCAGCTGCGTTTGAGTGCTATCAAAAGGCTGTTGATATCTCACCTTCAGTTGCACATGAACTAATCCAGGTAGTGAGAGATTTTATTTTTGTGATATTTTTTAGAAAGATGAAATGGCGACTTGTCAGTCTGTCTCTAAATCTATGCGTTTCTCCATATGGATTGGTATACCTATGTAAGGATAGATAATGTTTTCACTTCTTCCAATTACATGTTTGCATGTGAAGGTCTTAAAACAGGAGAATGTTGGTTATGTTGTGGCTCCTTATGAGGCAGATGCCCAAATGACATTCCTGGCAGTCAGCAAACAGGTTGATGCTGTTATAACAGAGGATTCAGACTTGATAGCATTTGGTTGTCCCAGAGTAAGTTATTGGTTAATTTCATAATTTCAGACAATCCTCAGTGTGCAATACGGAACAAATCCTTTGTTGCCACTGCATGTTCCCATTTTAATTTTCAAACTTTAGTTAATTATTGCTGCTTCACAGTGTATCTGTATCCTTTTCCTAACATCGTGTGTTTATTTTACTGAGTTTTGGCTGGAATTCTGCAAACCTTTATGGAATTTCAGATCATTTACAAAATGGACAAGTTTGGGCAAGGTGTTGAGTTTAGGAATTCCATGCTACAACAGAACAAGGATTTAAATTTGACAGGTTTCACTAAGCAGATGCTTCTTGAGATGTGCATTTTGAGTGGGTGTGACTATTTGCAATCATTGCCAGGAATGGGCCTGAAAAGGGCTCATGCACTCATAAAGAAGTTCAAAAGTTATGACATGGTGAGCACTATTATTAACAAACCCGGAAATTGCACATGATTACTTGATAGATCACAGCATGCTGGTTTTAATACTGACAATAAATTTTAGGCGTTTTTAGTTTTTTTTTTTTTTTGAGATGGGGGAAGGGGCTAGCGGGGAAGTCCTTAGTTTCAGCATTTTTCTTAAGTATTGTTGCCTTCTTCTCTTTGTACCCAATTATTAGTGATAAGTTCCTTATAATTTTGGCTCTTTTACCAATTACAGGTAATTAAGCACTTGAAGTACAACAGTGTTGCAGTTTATCCTCTCTATGAAGAATCTTTCAAGAAAGCCATATTGACTTTCCAGCATCAACGAGTTTATGATCCCATCGCGGAAGACATTGTACATTTGTCTCACTTATCTGATAGTATTGGCGAAGACTTAGACTTCTTAGGCCCATATCCTTGGCTTATTATTTATCTTACTAGCTTATTGCTCTTCAACAAATGATCTCCACTACGGTTTGTTAAACATTTTTTAGGATCATTCCTTAACCAGTTACACATCGATACCCCAGCATATAGCTAAAGGCATAGCAACTGGTGATCTTGACCCTTTCACTAACATGCCATTTCAGGTGTTATATTGACTTTCTTTTTGTTCTTAGCATTTAATTTTCGCCCAACTATATTAGCCATAGTAATTGTTTGCTTGGTGAGATGCATTCATGTCTTGTATTGTATTTATTTCTTAAATTGTGAACAGAGCAACATTTTCGTGCATGTCACTACATAGCCTGATAGGTTGTCTGCAAATCAAACTTTAATTCTATAAAGCTTAACATTTTGAAGGAAAAGAGGAATTTTAACACCATTGGCTGGACGAGGAGTGGTCACTAGTACTGTTGCTATATGTAATAATGTTCCTGGAGATGAAAATAATAGATGAAGAAGATTGATGCTCAACTCGATTAAAGAAAGTGGTGGCCCAAGTACTTGGGGTAGTCTCTGCAGTTCCCATTACCATTTGTTCCTCATTTAGAGCCATACCAAACAGGAAAGATCGGAATAAACTATGAATTATAAATTTCAAAAGATAGGAATAAACGTTATATTTTCACCATTTGGTATAATTCTTCCTTTTTTCCCCTTTTCTCCTATTCAAATAGAGCCGTTGGCTCGTTTTCTGCTCTTTGTGAAGAATGAGGCTGATAGGTAGATTGCACTCTATCAGAACATCAATTATCTTCTATGGGAATGCAAGTCAATAATAGCTATTGAATTGGTATGAGGTGAAGGATTTGAACAGGGTTACATTGTCAGCAAATGAAGAATATTTCTGCAGAGGAACATTAGTGTTGCAACTTAATTTGATATTATTCTCATGGGAATAACAACTAGAATTCTTAAATATTCAAGTGTAACTTCAATTTAACACTTCAAATTTATATTTGCTTTGACTAACAGGGCTGCTACTTCAATCTTCCTTCTTCTTTTGACATGCAGGGGGAGTGTGTCTGTGCTGGGTTGGTGCTTGATGGAACTTACCAACTCAAGGCCTTTAAACCTGATGGTGAAAGGAAAAGGCTTGATTTGCCTGTGCAGAAAAATCTTCTGACTAACTACTTTTGTATCCCTTTAGTCCACCTCGGTTTGAAGTGCTCAGTCTTTTATAAAAATTACTACCTAAGGCTAAAATACTTCTATTTTTTTGTTTAACATTATTGACATTGCAAATTTGTCTTATACTCATTGACTTGTTAATTCCAAATAGATCACATCCTCTGGGAAATCGACGTGTGCTATCTCTGTCTATCTTGTTATCAGATCATAGTTTGACAATCTCTGATACCACTGATTTATGTACTGCCCGCTGGGATAATCTGTTTTCATATTTACGTTGTAGCTTTATCTTGTTTGCAAACTTTTACCTCATCCAAAAGAAATGAACAAGAACAGTGTCGAAGGCCCAATTGGTACAGGGAACTCTCACCCTCCCCCCCACTCTCTTTGTAGGGGAATTGCAACAAATAACATAGCAGAAAAAAAAGTGTAGGATTTTGCATGTGAATCTCTTTATGTTGGGGTGCTGGTCATGGTGGTTGTAGCATTTTATATTTTAGTTCTTGAAATATCATACCACCCTAAATGCATTTAATTTTTTATTTCGTTGTCTTTACTGTGTTTGAGTGTCCATCCTTGTTTCCTTAGCCTTTAAAGGTTTTGCATCTCTTGAAGCAAAGAGGAATTTTATGGCCCCCCGAATTATGCCCAAGAATCCGAATCTGAGGAGTGAGGCTTCTGATCTGATGGAAGAATTCATTCAGGAGGCCGATCATTGTAAAATAAACTTCTCAACAGAATCCCTGCCTGACTCTGGGTCTGGGAACCTGGGAATGGTCCTCCCTGTAAAAGATTTGGTTAGTAATAGATGTGAGAGCTATCTCATCCTTTTGTTTGTTACATGGTTGCTTAAAATCTTCTCTTGCATTTTCTCATTCTTGTGCATTGTATGCTTATTTGTAGGTTGATAATGGTGTTGCCCCAAAAGCTTCTGAATTTTTGGAATCACCAAGTCATGGTAAGAATGTTTCCCCTTGAGCTGCCTAATGATCTAGTTGAGAATTAATGCTTACTTCCTTTTATTTCATAAACAAGAACCACATGACAGGAGACACATTTTGGTTGACACAAGAAATCAGCAACAAGCTTTACTCCAACAGTCCAGGCATTCAATTCATAAACCTTGTACAGCATTTCACACGGACCATGCCTCAGATCCTGGTGAGAGCAAAACAAGAACAAAGAGCCAAAATATCATTGTGAGAAGTTCCTATTTTCAGCACAAGTCTTCAAAGGAAAATGAACGGCACAGCAAGAATGGAAATCCCTTAGTCAAGGATGAGTCTGCCACTGATACATGCGGTGGTACGGTTTCTGAGTGCAAATTTAAATCTACGTCAGTTGCTGCAGGTGAAGGCAAAACATGGACAGAGAACAGAAATGTCATCATGACAAGTTCTTGTTTCTTGCACAAGTTTGTGAGGGAATCTGATCAGGACTACAAGAATGAAAAACCCTTAGTCAAAGGTCACACTACTACTGATACACGTGGGAGTACCATTCCAGGTTGTGAATATAAGACTGCCTCAGATGCATTTGAGGACAAAGCAAGAATTGAAAATAGAGAAGTCAATTTGAGTAGTTCTTATTTTCAGCATAAATCAGCAAAGCAAAACGACCAGAACATCAAATATGTGACTGATGCATGTGAAGATACTGTTCCTGAGGCTTCATCATCAGGCAATGGCTATTTTAGAGGCGCTGTCAAGAAACGAAAGGATGCTCCCATTGACATTGTTCAAACTGTAGGCACTTTCCCTTTAGTGAACACTGCCTTGATTTGTGTTTTTCTTTTATTTGACGGTAACTTTTCTGACTTCTAATACGCCGATTTGCTTTTATTCACTTCAGGAAAATGAGAATAACAACAATGGGTGGGGAAATGCCTCTCTTCCCGTTCCAAGTATGTACGGTGCTGTTTTTAGATTCTATGTGGAATCTCTTTCCTTGGTGGTGCATTGCTTAACTTGATACTATTTCCCTCACTCCCTTATGAAACTATGGTTACACCAGAAGCACAGAAACACTGCACTTGGGTACTTAATTATGCATGTATCTGCGTGAGGGTTTTCATAGTATAATAAAAATCACAAAAGGGGAGCCAACTGGTACGGAACTGAAAAAACTAAGATCACCTAGAAAATTCAAATTGCCTAAAAAGTCGAGAAAAGAATGAAGGGAATCAGAGAACTCTCAACTACTAAATCTGAAATGAACACAACATCACTTTCTTTAGCTTTAGAAATGTTGTTTTGCTCATCCATAGTGCATTGATTCTGATGCAAGCTGCATGCTTCCCAAGGTTGCTTGTCCCTCCTACTATTATCTGTTACAGCGCTTCTGTCCAATTTATATAATGATATTTCAAATGTTGATAGTAATTGTCTTATTATAGTTATCTCTTCTTCATGGCATATGTTACCTACTTCAAGTCACCAAGCAATTTATTACCGTGGTGGTTTTGAAACATTATTCTTGTCCCTGAAAATCTAGTTCATTGTAAGTGGTTAATACATTGCATGTTTGTTGAAGATGCGGTTGATCTGAGACAGTCTGATTCTGCAGTCTTAAAATTACAGTCTTGAGGTCAACATTGCCTGAGAGCACAAACATGATCTTCATGAGTTAACTTCACCAATGGCAAACCACTACACTGGCTGTTAAAAGACAAAACAAAAAGAGAAAACAGGCATACACCATCTTGGGTGTAGAATAACATTATACCTTGGTATCTTGTTTGAAATTGTGGAGTATTTTTGTTGGTTTTGATGAAGCAACTCTTTAATTGAAACTTAACTTGTTAGCAATTCAAAGTCTACTATTGATACTTAGCCAGATGGTTTTTAAAACAAACTTGTAATCCAGTTGCAGCACATTATGGTTTACCACATCCTTCCAAGAAAACCTTTAACACCATATGCTAGAATCACTGCTTGAGAACATTGATGTCATGGTTGTATTTCACAAAATAGGTATTACTATAGTCTATTCTTTGAGGACCATCTGATAAGTGACAAAAGTTGGAACTAAATACATATTTTTTCTTCTGTTCCTAAATGTGTTTAATATTTACATTTGGGATTTTTTTGCATGTATTCCTCGTTTACTGTTAATAAGAGGGGCTCATTCAACACGAATCTCTGAAGACCACCTTGATTCTGTGGAATTTCATGCTTAGAGCATCAATAGTAAAATTGTTGTACGAAAATGGCAGAAGCAACATAAAACTCATGGCAGTTTGAGTAATTGTATTGGATCCTACCTTATGCTTTTTTGTGAAAACTTACTGCAGTAGTTTTTGAAGTTCAAATTTCCTCTTCAAATTCAAATTCCAAGAATGTTTCCGTGTCAAAATTTGTGACAATTTCTGCTAGAAGAGAGATGCATTGTCTTGAATTGATCATGATATCTGAGTGATTTAGAGTAGAAACGCTATACATTTTGAAGGATGTAAGGAGGATTGAGTTCTTATCCCTGCAACATTGGAATTTTCATTTATTTTGTTGTATTCTGATGAATGGAAGGGCAAATTACCTTAATTGATATGCATTCTCAATGGTTTCTCAACTCGAAATCACCTAACCAACTGAAGGGCAGATAGTGCTGCATTCCCGGTTCTAGGCCTGAATTCTCAATTAAAACTCTGACTGCATTTGACCGTATAAGTGTTGAGGCCACTGTATTCGTCCACCAAGTTCGACAATAATATACTTTATTGCATTTGTTTAATATTTATCCTCATCGGAAGACAAATTTGACAACATATGTTTCTTACCTTCAGGTAACTTCATGTCTGGCGTTGATGATACATCTATGAATATGAAAGATGAAGGAAAGTTTGGTTGTAACATCTCGCATTTAGGCCACTATGCTGATGTAGCTGAGAAATCAATGGATAAATTTGTTTCTGTAATATCATCATTCAGATGCACTTCATCTGGTGGTTCTCGTGCAAGTGGTCTCCGTGCACCTCTAAAAGATGTGAACAACACTCGTATTCGTAGGTAATATTATTTGAGCTTTGGTGCTTAAATTTATTCCCATTATAAATTATACTACAAACACCAATATTTACTTCTCCATGTGTGTTAAATGAAGGTCGACTGTGCATGTTGATTTGAGTGAATTTGCATATAAACCGGCTAACAAGAAGGCATCCTCAGCATCTTGCAGTCTCAATGTGCCTAAGTATTGAATCAGTGCTTTGTATTGGCTGAGCACTCATGTTTTTCATTTCAGTAGCCAGCTTGTACTCCAACAATTCATCATTCTTGGAAACTGTAAGTTAGATAATTTCTTTGTTGTTGTAATCTTCCTTTGATTATAATTATATATATTTTTTCTTTATTATACTCATTGTTTCCTTTCATTTAGGACTTGATTATAACGAAAGCTCACTCGGATGCATTAGACCTGTAATTACATTTGCATACTCAATCGTTGATGCTCTGAGTATTACCCAAAAATTTGTGGTTTCCTCTAAAATGATAGTTAGCTGTTTTTGAGATACATTTGTTCTTTCATAATTGAAGCCATATGGTCTTACGAGTCATAAAAATATAAAATTCAAATATTCAAAAAATCGATTTCACTATATTAAATTTTTTTAAAATATATTAACTACAAATTAATTAAATATTAAATAATTAAATATATGATAGAAATAAATGGTGTTATATTTTTAGGGAGAAAATATATAAATAATTAAATATGTGATGGAAATGAATGATGTGATTTGACATTTGAGTCTGACAAATGAATGATAGGTGAGACAATTGATTGATAATGGTTTTAAAGGAAAAAATATGATTGATATAAAATTCTAACACTCTTATTTTATTATATAGATTGTTGAATTCAAAATTGATAATACAACGGTTTGTATTACTTAACAAATTTTTGTAGACAAGGAAAAAAAAAGGGAGAATTACACTCGGATCGTTGAAGTTTGTTACTTAATTACTTAGAGCTCTTGATGTTTGAAATATTATACACAGACCTCCTGAAATTTTTATGCGCATAACACTTAAACCCTTGTCATAAATATATTTGTTAATAAATTATATTCAGACCTCCTAAAGTTTATAAACATATATTAATTAGATGCTTTAAATTTAAAATGTTATATTTAGACAAAAAAATACTTCAATTGAAGATAAAACATTAAATATTTTAAAATTTATAATTAAAATTCATGTTTTATTGTATCATTTATTGAAATAAAATCAAAAATAAAATTTTAATTTTTTCTTAAAAAATCGTAATTAATATACAATTATATTGTATATTAGAATTTAATTTGGTAGTTTAAATGACCAAATTAAAATACCAAACTACTCCATTTAAAGCTAAAAGATATTGTCTTCATTATAATTTGACCCCTTTTTTAATGTTTTAGTTTTATTCTAATAGATGATATAATTATATACTAACTATGATTTTTTTTTAAAAACTAGATTTTTTTAAGTGGTGGGACCCATTATATAAAATGATTTTTTCAATCATTGGTGGTAAATGATCCACCGAGAAGAGAATTAAAAGAAATCTAAATTTGAGATTGTGTCCTCTTAGCCAACAAATGAAGAGTTAGATTTGTGTCGATCTCGCTTAAACTTAATTGGAGTTACATCAACTACGTAAACACTTGTTTGGAGCTTTTCATTCAATAAATGTATGATGTTAACTTGATACCACCTTAATCATTCTATAAATTTGATGCATCCCCAACTCCAAAAAATTAAATAAAAAATAAACTGGAACTCAAGACCTCCATCTTGTGAGGTGGGTTACTTGCCAAATTGTTAAACACATGTTATGCACTAGGATAGGGTTGGTACATCCTAAGGGATTTTGGAAGTGATTGTTTTATGTGGTAATTTATGTTAATGAAGATGTCATTATCAACCTCCCAACTTCAAGTGGATTATAATACTTCCCATTTTTGCACTCCATAGACCATATAGGCAACTTTGGTAGCAACACATAACTCTCTCTCTCTCTCTCTTAAATATACACACACTCACCTATAACCGATAAGAATTTATGTAGGTATGACAATTTGAAGTTTTAAACTTAGAATATGTATATTTATGCCTCATATTTTATTCAATCATCGAATCAAGTGGACGAGTTCTATCTAATGCAACTAACATATTTGTTGATTGTGATTGGATGTACTCTTTTTTTTTTTTTTGGATCTTTTTGGATGATGGCAACATCACCACTATGACAAGGGATTTAATGGGAGAGAGTTATTCTTGTGGAACTAAAATTGCAGTTTAGGAGACGTTATGAACTCTATCAAGTGTTTGGTGCAATCATGGAGATGATACATTTGTCCTTTTAGTTATAATGAGATAGGGGTGATGTGAGTAATAGACACATCATTCCTATTTCTGATATGATTGTCTTCTTTCCACGTAATTAACCTATGGGTAAGTTACACTTTTTTTTAAAATGAAATTACAATTTTGACCTTTAAATGATGTAAATTTACCTTTAAAAATTATACCTTTCATAATCGATTATACATTTTTCAGTTATAACTTTTATTTCAAAAAATTAATTTTAATACGATGCCAAATTTGGCACCGTAATCTTCCTCTAATCCAATAAGTGATCGACAATGTGTGAGAGAAGTTATTGTCTAGTCTAAGAGTAAAAATCTCTTTGGTATAAATCACAAGGATAAAGGTTTGAATTTGAGAAGGGTGTCAATCATGTGGTGATACTTTGATTGTGTTATTTTTGTATCAGGTCACTTTCGAAATGTGTCAGGTCGTGTCAATATAAAATTATTTAATTCCACAATAACTGATTTAATATTATTTAAAAAATTCTTATTTTTTATTTATAATACTCGTTAAATACTTATTTTTTTTATTTACAGTACTCGTTGATAATGTTATTTGTGTTAAACCTTAATTTGACTAATAAAATTACTAGTGTCAACTAATCATGTTATTTTCAAATTTTATGTCAGGTCGGGTTGTGTTAATAGATAAAATTGATGCCCTAGAATTTGATGGCAGATATTTTTGTAGTTAGAAAATAATATCACCCAAAGACCAAGGTAGAGACGTATAGGGAACTGCCATGGGCCTTACATCTAAATTTTAATTATTAATACACATATCAGCTTTAAAAAAGTTTTAATAATGTTATTTGAACTTAATTTGCTACTTAATCTATCATAATTATCAGATTAATTGTGATTTCTAATAAATATTGGACACCTCTACCAATGAATAGTTATTAATGATTAGGTCAACAAATTAAGTTATTTATAAACTCGGCCAATAATGACATCACAATGATGTATTGGACTAGTCGATGGGGAGGATTTGGGGGCAAAATTTGATCTAATCTCTCCCTTTTTGCGAAAGTGAGACTTGAGATCGGGTCTCATTTTATCTCTCATGTCTTCACCTTGATAACAAAATTGATTGTTACGATAGTAGATTTGGTTTAAATGCTACATTCTCAGATCGATAAAAGTCGAATTTTTATTTAAATATATAGTTAAGATTCTAAATTTGGCATATATATTTAATGTTGAAGTTTATTTTTCTTATATTTGACGCTCTAGATTATTCTTCTCCATGCCTAACTTTATAACGTAAAATTGCTATAGAAGTGCACAAATCCATTTGCATCCCAACAAACCACACATTTGTCCCCAAAGATTTTGACAATATTTTATTTAACATAGATTAGATTTGATCAAGTCAGCTGTAGATGCCAAATGTAGAAACACTACTCTTCATGAGAGAGAGAGAGAGAGTAAGTCGTGGTTTGAGTTTGAACCAACTTCAAAGATAGTTCAAGTGGTAATAAGGACAAGTTATAAACTCAGACATCTTGAATTTAAATTTTGATAATCATTTGATGTCAAGTTATATGGAATTTATGTCTTATGAATACCTTATTTCGGGTGTGAATGACTGCTTATGACTGGACCGAAGAGAGAATTAAAAAAAGTTTGAACAATAATAATAAAAAAAAAGAGTTTGAACAACACATTTCTAGAAAGGGTTATGGTTGTGGGAAGAAAAAGGTTGTATATGTGCAGCTAAATAAGTTTATGTTCATTAAATACTAATACACGTGGTTCGATGATTTCAGTCTTATTAACCTAAATTCACACTCTTTCGATTGAATTACTTAAAGTCTCTCGAAATTGTATGTAATTGTTAGTTTAATGACGGACTCATCAAAACGAGAACAAATAACTAAAATATAATCGAGAGAAGTTCCTAAAAAAAATAAGAACAACAACAATGAAAGTAATGAGTCAAGCCCAAATGGCCCATCCATGTGGAAAGTTCAATTTTAACTGAGAGCCCAATTTTATGAATACCAACCAAGCTCAATGTGGTCCGAGTTCGGTCAAGTTCATCAGGGAGTTACTTTGCTATGTCATCAAGAAAACATCCGGGAGTCCCACCCTCAACGCCTTGAAAATAGTCAACCCTCACCTCCTCATTGACTGAGTCTCGTGGAGTGCCCCTCGACCACTTCGTCCGTTGAGAGGAAGTCGTGAGCTCTATAAGAATAGTTACTTAGTTGCCATTGAGTCGCTCCAATCTGTTAGAAAACGACTATAAATTGTAAGTCCCACCAATACTTAGAGAACATGACACTCTCACTGGAGCATAACTCTCCTCTCTCTCTCAAAGATTGTACTCACTGATCTTCAAGCACTCCTGAATTAGTAAAGTATCAGGCGACTCTAGCCATTCAAAAAGTGGACGTAGGTCACATTGACCGAACCACTATAACTCTAGTCTTCTCTCTATTTTAATTACTGCATTTATTTACTCACTTGACAGGTGGTGTGCAAATTCAATTTATGCATCACTAGTTTGACACCGTCAGTGGAAACGACAAAATTCTCACTTCTAAACACTTCATTTGCTGAATTAATGACGATCACCACCAGATCTATGAATCAGCCTAAAGATAACCACCCACCTTGAGAGGAGGAGGTTACTCCTCCACCAACCAATTCTGTCCCAAATGTGCAACAGATGCTCGAGACCATGCAATAGCTTATGGTCCAGAACCAGCAGATCTTGCAATTGATGCTCGTTGGGCAAGGAGGAGCACAATCTGGACCTCAAGCTCGAGGAGCTCTACGCCTTGGGCGGAAACACAAATCTCCCAAGCCTTTCCCTGATGACCAGCGGGTTGCCCAGCATAGGACTGGCCCAAATCGATGCCCCTGTAGAAGTTCCCTCACGAGAAGGAGGCGAAC